CTCGGCCGGCCGGCGGCGGCGGCGGCGGGGTCGCCTGCTCCTGGCTGCTGGACGGGCACAGCTCGCTGCTGTGCTATGGCTTCCTCTACCTGGCGCTCTACGCGCAGGTGTCCCAGTCCAAGCCGTGCGACAAGACGGGCTCTTGCTTCTCGGGCCGCTGTGTCAACTCCACCTGCCTCTGCGACCCAGGCTGGGTGGGGGACCAGTGCCAGCACTGCCAAGGCAGGTTCAAGTAAGTGCCCCTGCCGCAGCCCTGCCCCGCGCGCGTGCCGCGGCCTCCCCGCCGGGCCCTCGGGTACCCCCCCGACCGCCCCCCATCCCCCGCCGGCCTGGGAGCTTGTCCTCGCGCTGCGCCCTCCATCGTTGGCTAGGCTGGGGGACCCTGACCCCGACCCCGGCTCCTTGCGGACGCCAGACCTTTCGCGAGTGCTTCCCCAGGCCCTGCGTCTCCTGGAGAACGTTTCCCACACTTAACTTAGGGTGCCAACCAGCATTTTGCTAGGATATTTTAAAATCGGAAATTATGCAAGCAACTCATGAATATAAGCATAGAGTGAGATGCAACCAGGACAGAAGTGGAAAGGTTAAAAGTTTTCGCCCACCACCTACCCACCCTCTCCCCCCCCACCCCACTCCCCACTCTAGAGGTAACTGAGCACTGCGTCATTTTAGTTTATTTAGTAAGAGTGATCACGATAAGTGGAGTTTATGATGATGGGTTTACTGTATGCCAAACACTATTCTCATTGCTTTGCTCCTATTGTTTCCCATGAGCCTCTGCGTTACCACAATTGTGAGACTGTTTTACAGTTGGAAATCCTGGCAATGCATTTAAGCCACTTGCCCAAGGTTACCCAGTACAGAGACGTGATTTCAGTGCATTCACTTTTAGTGCCATTGTGTGTGCATGTGTGTGTGTCTCTCTGTGTGTGTTTAAAGCCAACACGCTAGACTGCATTTGTGTGTGTGTGTGTGTGTGTGTGTGTGTGTGTGTTTCAAGCCAACATGCTATGCTGCGTTTGTTAGGACAGCCCGGAACAGAGAAACACAAGGTTGTCTGACTTAGGATGAGATGAAGATAAGGAATTTTCAAATTGCGTTTTCACTCGTAGCTGGCGTGTGAAAACATTGCTTGGGTCTTTCTGAAGATGAGAGGGTAAGGAATGTGCTCTTTGGCTATAAAGATACTTTCCCTCTGTTGTAAGTGTTTGCTGCATTCCTTCCTGATAGGACAAGACTAGGGTGGAGTTAGGATAGCAGTAAGTTTCAGGCCACTAGGGTATCCATCTGACCACTGGCAGATCATAGTTCTGTGCGAAGGATAAAAGTCAGTCCACTTCTTAGTAAGCAACATTTAATACAAGGGTTGCTGACTGATTTTATGGTGCTGAAATTGTACCCTGAAGATTACTAATATCTATGGGCAAGAACAGACACCCTGGTGGTGCAGTGGTTCAGGTGCTAAGAGGCTGCTAACTGAAAGGCTGGCTGGTGGTTGAAACCCATTAGCCACTCTCTAAAGGAGAAAGAGATGGCAGATTTACGGACATACAACCTTGGAAGCCCTCTGGGGAAGTCTGCTTCGTCCAATAGGGTAGCAGTGAGTCAGAATCCAGAGCAGTGGGTTTCTTATTGTCTACACAGCATGTGTCTTGGGTGCCAAGCAAAGGTAGGAGTGGACTCTTTTGTGGTTCACCTTCTTTATATCCTGTAGGGTAGTATTCTTGGTATTTTAAGCTTGACACATTTCCTAATTATTCAGTTGTTGCAATTTTTAAAAATAGCCCTTAAAACTCAGTGTGAAATGTAGTACTTTTTAAATGGAACTTTTGAATTTCAGGTGAGATCCTACAATTTAAATTAATTTGCAGCAGGCTTTGGGAAGTGAAATCTCAAAATGGAGTTTATGAGATTCGTGTGTAGCAATGGTTGAAATGTTTCCTTGGTTCATTAGTATTATATGTATGTACATATGTGTCTCTCTCTCTCTATATATATATATATATACACACACACACACAATCTGGGAGAGTTAAATTTAACTTAAATGAAATGCTTACGAAGTAACTGTTTCAAGATGAGGAAAGCTTTCTTGCTGAATTGGGTTTGTCAGTAGCCTTTGGAAACTAGTGGTTCTCAGGTGAAGGAACCAGGCTGGCATGGTGGTTAAGCGCTCAACTGCTATTTGAACCCACCAGCTGCTCCTCTGGAGAAAGAGAGGCCAGTCTGCTTCCAAGCCCACCCTCTGGGGGCAGTTTCCCGCCTCCTGTCCTATCACCCTGAGTCCAACTCAATCGGACTGCTGGGTTTGGTTTATTTTTAGATGCTGCTAAGTCAATTGTGAGAGAGTCGAACTAAATGCACTTAAACTTTTGCTGTGACAGCGGCAGCCAGTTTTGTGCTTGGCATGAGGGAAGTTTGAACTTATAAAACTGACAACCAAAAGTGAAGGGACAAAAACAAACAGAACCCCCCCCCCCCCCCCCCCCCCCCCCCCCCCCCC